ATAAGTGGCAGGTAGACTTGGACAACTTAGAGCAAGGAGACAATGAGCGTGTAGATTCCTACACTTATAAATTTAAGCATTTTTTATCTAAAGTTGATGCTAATAAAGGCATTCCGGCTCCTTATGTCGTGAGAATGTTTCTAAAAGGGCTTCGAGGAAACATTGCAGCGCTTTTGTATTTGGCGGAACCGAATAATCTTAACAATGCTATTGTAATAGCCCGGAGGATTGAAGCAGGTAGCCATTATGAAGATAAGAAAGAGGCTAAGTCAGTTTTAAGGGTGGAAAAAGAATTGAAAGATTTAACACTTAAACTAAAGCAAATGGCGGCTAGTTAAGAAAAACTTACTACCACTCTAGCTGCTATGATGGATGCCTGTCCCACCTGGGATAGACTGCCTCGGCCACCAAATTCTAAAATTATTTGCTTCAATTGTGGTGAGCCAGGTCATATATCTAGGAATTGTCAGTCCTAAAGGAAGTCAAATGACCAAAGAAACTCCATCCAGCCTACACAAATTCTTTCCCGTCCCGGCAATGTTAATATTGTAGGATAGAGGATAAGAATTATGTTGAAAGTGCGGTTTTGGCTAATGACCAAGCCTGGTATCAACCTTATACCACTCAAAAAGGGCTAAGACCGGTAAAGAAGTCTGAGTCAAAGTGGGAGGATAGGTTGAGGTGATATGAACTAGAAGAGCTGCCCCAAGAACTATTGCCAATGAATGAAGAGCTGTATATCTCAGAGAAGCCAACTGTGACTCACTCTAAGTATAGAAGAGGACCATCTAGGGTGGATAACCTTGAACTATATTATATAATGTTGTTCAAAACTTGTTAAATACTAAGTCTAGTGTCACTATAGGGCAAATGTTAAAATACCCTAACTAACGCCGTAATCTTGCCCAAGCCCTTCGTTGTTCTAGGTTACCTGTGGAGACTAATTATGCCCAACCCAAAGAAAATTTGAGGACCACAGCCGCCCGGTGTTATGTAAATTTAGAGAAAATCCAGTAGTAGCAATTCTGGACACTGGTGCAGCTGTTAGTTTGGTTACCAAACCTTTGGCAGATAAATTAAAACTTAAAATTGGAGTACCTTCTAATACTGTGGTAATCACAGCCACAGGGCCCGTGAATGAACCTTGGGGAAGATTGAAAACTTAAAAATGGTTGTAGGTGGCCTTTAAGTTCCAATAACCCCCCAAGTAATTGATTCCCAGGATGAAATGTTGTTGCTAGGTACCGATTAGTTCCAGAAATCAAAGGCCTGTATGCACTTTGATGAAGAAAAGTTATACCTGACTTATCACGGCCAAACAACCTGCTTGGCTATATCACATGTTGGGGAACATCAGCTTTCGAAGCCTGATGATGAAAGTGACGATGAGAACCTCTTTGATGAATTAGAATTTGAGAATAAACTGCTAGAAGAAGCTGAGGGCTATTATACCAGTGAGGCCTCATTGGAAGAAGAGTTACATGTAAATCCTTGGGATGGGGCACAAAGTTGTGTGGCTATAGACGAGGTTCCGGTGGGGCATTATGATGAAGAAAATGAAGAAAAAAAAGAATTGGGTAAAATATGGAAAACGGCACTAGATAAATTAGTAGCCCAGAAAGAAATAGGTAACAAGGGCCGGAAACAAGGGCCGGAAACAAGCTAAATGGTTATTTGCTAAGTACGAAGATATATTTGCTAGAAGATTAGAAGATTTAGGGCAGACTAATATTGTTTAGCATTATATCAACACGGGTTCTGCATCTCCTATCAAGCAGGCGGCCTATCGATTAGCTCCTAGTGAGCAGGAGTTTTTACAAGAAGAGGTTTTAAAAATGTTGAATATGGGATTAATAAGGGAGTCCTATAGCCTATGGTTATCTCCAGTGGTGTTAGTCCCCAAGAAGAATGGAAAATTATGGGTCTGTATTGATTATCAGAAAATCAATACAGTAACAAAGAAGGACACCTATCCTATTCCAAGAATAGATGATATGCTGGAGACATTTGGGAATGCCTCTTGGTTCTCTAGTTTAGACTTGGCCAGTGGGTACTGGCAAGTCTTCGTAGCCGAACAAGACAGGGAAAAGATGGCCTTTGTCACCAAGTTCAGGGTGTATGAGTTTAATGTTATGCCTTTCGGTCTCTGTAACACCCCGGCTACGTTTTAGCGGCTGATGAACCATGTGCTAAAGGAGTATATTGGGCAATTTGTTGCCGTCTACCTAGATAACATTACTGTCTACTCTAGAACTTTCTGGGAACACATGGAACATTTGGAAAGGGTCTTTATCAAGCTTCAGGAGGCACAGTTAAAATTAAATAGTGACAAATTTTACCTTCTTAGAAGGTCGTTAAAGTTTCTAGGCCATAAAATTACTAGAAATAGAATTAGGCCGAATAATGAAAGGTTATCAAAGTCCAAGAATACCCAGCACCGAAGACTCTGCACCAATTGAGAGGATTTTTGGGTCTATCATCCTACTATAGGCAGTTTATTAAGGGTTTTGCCTCTCTTGCTCAACTCTTGAATCACCTACTTTGGAAAAACGTGCCATATGATTGGGGCGAGCCTCAACATAAAGCATTTGAAATATTGAAACGCCATTTGACTACTGCCCCAATTTTACAGTATCCAAATTTTGAGAAGACATTCTACTTACACACAGATGCTTCAGGGATAGTCTCAGGGCCATGTTGTCCCAAAAAGATGAAAAAAATAGGGAGCACGTGATTGCATATGCTAGCCGAAGTTTAAGTCATGCCGAGAAAAACTACTCTACCACTAAGTTGGAGTGCCTGGCAGTAATTTGGGGAATTGAGTATTTCCACCATTATTTAGCTATTAAGCCTTTTGTAGTGATCACGAACCATGCCGCTCTTAAATGGTTAGAGATATTGAAATTGAAAGGAAGAAGAGCAAGGTGGATCCTCCGGCTCCAATCTTATATTTTTAAAATCGTACATAGGAGTAGTTGGGTGCACTCTAATGTAGATGCACTATCCCACCTCCCTGAAATAAATGATAATGAGAAAGAAAACTGGCCAGAAGAAGCTAGGGAGGTTCTTAAAGTTGATGTTATATGTATAGAAGATAGTGAAAATGAATGGTACTCAGAAAATGAAGATTATGAAGAGAACTATGAGGATGAAGGGGATTACGAATCTGAGGTAGAAGAGATGGATTATGAAAAGACTGATAGTATAGAGGAACAATGGAATACGTGGGAGGTGGATGAGAGTGAAGTAGTGGATATGAATCGGTGGAAACAAGGGTATGAACAATTATTACATGATTTCGAAGTAGAATTAGGCCGTAGATTGTTATGGAAAGGCCATTGTGATATTGCCCAACAGTGGTGGGAATATGAGAATGGAAAAGGAGCTGAAATGTCACTTTCCCAGGATGAAGTATATTTAGTGGATGATTTAAGGGCCATCCAGGGTGAAAAAAGCTTCTCTGATGTAATTTGAATAGAATGGGAGCCCAAAAAAAATGTTCCTTGGCCCCTTACATCCAAAGAAGTTATAGAAGCCTCAAAGGAAGAAAATGACCCCAAGTATGAGGTTGATGAAGGATCATCCGATAGTAATTATTATTCTTCTTCACAATGGGAAACGTCAGATAATGATGAGTCCCAAATAGAAGTTGTAATAAACAGTGGATTGACAAGTCTAACCACCCCGGAGGAAGAAACCTTGACTGAAGAGTAAAGGTTAATAAGAGTCTTGCAGACCAAGTAAAACAAGAGAATGCAATGATGGATGAATTTATCAAATGGCCAGAAGATAACCAGGAAGAAACCTTTGAGCCACAAGCTATTGATATTGGCGCAGAAGGAATTGGTATTGAAAAGGATGAACAGGCAATGAATATGAACATGCTTATATATATACCTGTCTTTCTTTTTACTAAGTTAACTCCTAGAAGACGCCAAAAATTGGTCTTTGCAGGGAAAGCCCAGCGCTTCGAAAATGAGTTCTTCCTCTATGACCATCCTACTCTTAATGACCATATAGCAGCCCGGGAGCTCAATTTAAGGGAGGCCGTATATTGAGTAGATTTTTATGGCTATCCTTTAATTCCAATGACCCAAATGAATTACTAATCCTGCAAAACCGGATACAAGATGAAGTACGACAAAGTGAAGCCCAGCAGTTAATGGCTTTACAAACCGGCATTGATCCTGGGTATAACCGAAGACTTGTAGATAATAATGGTGTTCTTATCTTACCTGTGGAAATTGAGTTGGATTAGTAAACGCATATAAATACCAATATCTTTTTTCTTTTAATATCTTAATGTTATATGACCTCCCAGACATTCATGTTCTCGGGATCATATAACTGAAAATAAAAAAAAAAAATAGGTACTTTAGTAACACCATCTGAATTTTATTTAGTTTTTTCCGAATCACAGACCTAACATTAGTAAGGTTGGTTAGGATGGAGTAGGGCGAGTTGGGCCCTATTTACTTGAGAAAAGATCGATGAAAACTTGATCCGCAAAGGATTAGTTGCCGATTGGGGTATTAAATTAGGAAGGCCAATATGGACTAAGTTTGGAAAATTAAAATAGAATGCAAAAAAAAAAAAAAAAAAGTGTATTGGAAGAAAATAATGAGAGTTGAAGTTTAGATTTTTGGTTATAGCCGAATGCTAAGGCATTTTTCTGCTATCAAAAATCTTCTGAGAAGATGCGTAATGAATGACCCTAAGAATTGGTCAAATAAAAATAATGGTGGCATCAGGAAAAATCGATCAATTGTAAGAGTTAGGAACGGCAATAATTAAAGATACGTCCGCACTATTAGATAAATAGTGTCATAGTGTATCCAAGCAAATTGAAGATATTAAAGAACCTGAACAAGTTAAAATACCAAACAAACTATAGGAAGAATCCTCTGTGTGAAATTTCCTAACGGCATAAATCTGATGTTAAGCAAAAATTCGGACCAGGTAGTCAGTGTCCTGGCACAAGAAGTACTAAGATGGATCCGAAAAGATTTAATCAATTAAAGCACTTTCTTCAAGAACAATATATTGATCTGAGATTGTCCAAGAAAGAAAAAAGAAGACTTATAAATAATGGGTGGATATTCTTCTTGAAAGATGAGATTATTTTCCGAAACAACAGCAAAAACTCAAATAAGCCGTTGAGAGTTATTCAAACCCAAGAAGTGGAACCAGTGTTATATCTGGTTCATGATCATCTACTAGGAGGTCATTTAGGGATCGAAACCATGTTTGAGAAAATAAGGCAACTCTATTACTGGCCTCAATCATATGAACGAATACAGGAGTATGTAAAGTTTTGTGACCAATGTCAACGACGAGGTAAGCCCCGGCTGACTACTCCCTTACACTCTATACCAGTCGTGGCTCCTTTTTATCAGGTTAGTATAGATATTGTAGGACCACTACCTATTACATCTAGAACAAGTAGGTACATAGTGGTGGCAACAGATTATATGACTAAATGGCCGGAAGCTAAAGCTATTAGTTCAGCAAATGCTCAAGAAGTGGCCGATTTCCTGTACAATAAAATAATTTGCTGTCATGGTGCCCCAAGTTGATCCTGTCAGATCGAGGAACTTATTTCCGAAATAAGCTAGTTCAGAAATTACTGGAAAAGTTCCAAACTAAGCATGTCTTGTCGACGCCATACCACCCCCAAACAAATGGGCTGGTAGAACAGTTTAACCAGACCCTGTGTGAGTCTATTGCCAAAACTGTGGAAAATGTAGTAGACTGGGATCTAATTATCTCATCTATATTGTTTGCTTATCGAACTTCAAAGCATTCTACTACAAAGATAACGCCATTCTACTTAATATATGGTCGAGATGCAAGACAGCCCATTCAATCAAATGAAAGTGTTGGGGAAACTATGGCCCAAAGAGTTCGAGGGCTAGTAGATACGTTACTGGTAATCCGCCAAGCTGCCATTTTTCAAGTACAAAAGGCGCAAAATAGACAAAAACAGCTTCACGATAGAAAAATTCAGAATATTACTGAATTTGGAATAGGAGAAAAAGTATTGGTGTATTGTGCATCTCGACAATATAATCGTAGCATAAAGCTTGAACCGAAATGGTCAGGCCCATACTACATTCATCAGGTTTTTTGACTGGAAGGTAGTCAAGTTGTGCACAATGGAAGGTCAAGTCGTATCAACTCCAATTAGTACTAGTCTAATTAAAAAGTATAGAGATCGTCAAAGGGACACTGAAAGAGAAAGAATATTAAATTAAGGTGTATATTGCGTGATGGAAAGAAGTAAGTGATGAATGATGTTTTGATAATAAAGTTGTGATTAAAAAAAAAAAAAAAAAATATACATATATTATAAATAGTAGATCGAAAGAGGGTTTCTTTTTTTGTATATATATAGCCAAGGTCAAACTTTGATCTATTTTATCTTTACAAACTTCTAAAAAAAAATAAAAAAAATGGATATCCACGCAATCATTAAAGATATAACCTCTCCTGTCCCTTCTGGTGTTCTTGTAACTCCACCTCCATTTGTGGCACTACCTCCATTTGCGGAGACCCATGATCTCATAGAAAGTGTGGACGCGACTCGTACGGCCTTGCTGCGGGCCATTCGATTGAAAAATAGAATCGAAACATTGGTATTGGCCTACTATCTCGGCATGTTATTTGTAACTGCCACTCCCACTTAGCAAGGAGCCATCTGAAGACAAGTAACTCGACATTATTACCTTGCGGCTAGGTGTGTCTACGATGTATTTGCTCCTCTTGGTGTTCAGCAAATTTATGGCACCACTATGGTTACTTTTAATACATTTAGCCTGTTATTGAATGAAAATCTCTAACAATTGATCCTCTAGTGTTCGTGAAACTCACATTTTAAGTCGGTGGTATTGTAACCTGGAAAACTCAGACCTTTGAAAATTTTAATTTTAGGCCGGTTAATTACGTATGTGCCGCAGAAGCCTATTTTTGGTTAGCGACAATCTTCGATTTATTTGGGTTAAAGACTTTTAGAAGCAATTTGTCTTAAAAGTCTTAAAGGTCTTAATGGCGGTATATAATACTTTTAAAACTTAAAAGTCTTTTCTTTATTTTATGTATTTTAATAGTTTATATTATTATAAGACTTAAAAGTCTTAAACAAAACATAGTTTAAAAGAAAGTATATAAGCAGTACATTTCTGCTGTTTAATAAAGACATCATTTTTACGATTTAACAAGCATCCCTTAGCTTGTCTTTGGCCCATTTAAATACATATTTTGTAAACACTACCTTCACCTCGATCCTTGCTAAATTAAATTCTTGTCTAATTGTTAACTCTGTCATAAACCATATCTATCCCATTGACCAAAGATTACCTTTCTGAATTAGCCAAATTTAGGCTAGATCACTCCAATTGTCTGCCTGATACAGACAACCCTTATTGTTATCTGAGTTTAGCGCCATTTCCAACCTTAGTTTAGATTGATAGTATTGAGTACCATACCCAGAAGTATTGTGGATATATTTTCTTGCGAGTTGGTTCCAGTGGTTCGAGTGTTGGTAAACCGAAGTTTGTCACGTGTTTCTTGCCTAAGGATTGCCGAAGCCTTAGAACCATTCCACTTTGCTGAATCTAAACGTCTCTTTCGATAAGGTGGTCCAGTGTTTTGTTTGTTTAATTTTGCTGGTTGATTTAACTCCCGGCAAATCGATATTTCTCTGAGTAACAATAGAATCACGAACTTTTAAAGAAATAATCGAAGTTTTTTTTTTTTTTATAATATTTATTAAATTTATTAGAATTTATTTAATTATCGCTACAAGCTATAAGTTAAAGTACACTCAATTCAAATGTATAGAATGCATTTCATCCAAATTCAAAATTTATTTAATACACGTATAAAGCTTCAAATTTGAATTTTTTTATGCTATTAATAAAAGGTACTTTGTTACGTCCACTACAAGCTTTTTTGCTTGTTCAAAATTTTAAATGTCATCTTCTATTTTTTTGAATATGGTTAAAGTTCGATACAATACTTTCGAAGCCATTTTTTTTTGTTCGGGAAAATTATTTGACTTTTCAAGACAATCAAGCGGCTAAAACATAAATTTAATAAATAAATTTATTTAAACATGAAAAAATTTTTATACCTCATGAAGAGCAAATTTCAGATTCAGATTCACTATCTTCAGTACTCGATTCTTCATTATCTATATTTTGGTTTCTGAATTTACCAGATCGATCATTATCTATATTTTGGTTTTTGAATTTATCAAATTAATCATTAAATTGACTTGTGTGTAATTAATCAAGGTTGATATTCAAATATTTTCCCATAAAGTTTCTTTAGCTTCCGTAATGTGAGAGAATATTGGGAATTGCATTGTATCTAAATTAATATACCGTAATATTAGATTTAGAAATTATAAACCATGATATAATAACGCTTCATTAATGTTATTTACTTCTATTCGTTAACTGTTTGGGAAATATCTACAACTATTTCAAGATTCATATACATATTTCTTTCTATCAGCATCCATAAGTTTTTCATAAACTATATATTTCAAGCTCTTTGGATTTTATAGCATTTTCTTTTTGTTTGCGAATATCATTTAAAATTTGATCCTCATGTTTCTGTTTTATGCTCCATTTACACAGGTTGTGCACTTAAAACATGATTTATTATTATTTTGAAATGCAGTTTTTTGGTTTCATAATTCGACATGAATAAAGTTGTGTTTATATTTTAGAAAATATTTTGTATTAAGGCTTTCAAAGAAATAAAAATTTTCATCGTAAATTGTTATTATTATTCTTACATATGTTATTAATCAAATATCATAATCGTCCATAGCTCAAAAATTAGCATAAGAATCCACCTTTGGTGTTCTAGCAAAAAGTTTTCGTTGGGCAATTTTACTATTTAAATACCCTCATCTAATTCTTAACCTTAACACTAACCCTAATCTTAACGAATTTTAAGAACTTTGTCTGCGCCACCAACCTGGTACACATTATCTAAGTGCCCCCATAAATACCCCCCGATCACTATATCAAGATAACAGGACACTTAGTAAAAAATACTCTGTTTTGATGTGTACAAGCGGAAACTTCGTTTCCACTAATACCCAAGGGCTTAGAATATTTTTATTACAAAACAACATAATTTTTATAACTAGGCAGTTTTTTCAGAAGCCCTAATTTCTCCTCCGATTGTAACTGGACACATGAAATCCTGTCTTTAATTAGATAAACTAGATCACGCCACCTTAGCACAGCCGCAAATCAAAAACATCGTTTTCAAAAAAGATTTTTTATTAAGCTAAAGAATTTATTTATGCACTTCCAGAATTCTTTCTGTTAGTAAAAAAAAAATTGAAATAATCTAAAACATTAACAAAAATAAGTGCTTCTGACTAGTGATGTGCCATTTATATGATATCTGAAAAATTTTAGCGTACAGTACATACAGTACGTATAGTTCTTTTCTGGCATCTGATTGGCTGGAAAAAGTGATCGGCAAAAATTTTAGCGTACAGTACGTTGTGAGAGGCTCTCGGGGTCCCTAAATTATTATTATTTATTTTTTATTATCTATTTTATTTTATTCTTTTTATTCTTTTTTTTTGTTAGCATATTGTTATTGTCTTTAACTCGGCACAGCCTTCTAAAGAATTAATACGTAATTCTTACCTGATTTGGAAGCCTTCTATCCATTTTGGTCAAATTAACATTTGAATGTAGTCATAATTCCTGAAAAGGAATTTTGATGATTTTGGGAATTATGCGAATTTTGGGAATTATGTGAATTTTGTGAATTATGTGAATTATGCGAATTTTGTGAATTCTAAGAATTATGTGGATTTTGAGAATTTGGTGAATTATGAGAATTCTGTGAATAATAAATAGCTATAGTAGAAACTCAAATGTATTTATTATAAGCACTAGAAGTTATAAAAGTGCTGGCTATTTGCCTTGAAATAAAAAGCAACTCATTAGAGTTTTATAACTTCGAAACTATATATAGTAGAAGTCCTTCCTTAAGAAAACATTGCCCTTAAAATAAAACGTTCCTAATAAGAATGTTGATAAAACCTTTTTCTTACTCTGTTACCTAGTCAAGTTCATATTAAATCGTAGTGCTAGTAAAGTTTAAATTAGAGACTTTGAAATTCGAGTAGAAGTGCTCTCCTTAAGCTATCTGCCCTTTTCTTTTAAAGTTAATTACCCTATTTTACCCACTGAATTATTAAATCCACTTAAATACCCTGACCTTGATATTGGAATAATAGTTACTCTCAAAAGAAAGAGAGAACCTTATTGCATTATTTCGATCTTATATACCTAATAAAATCCCATAATCCATTGTTAGCGGCATTAATCGAACAACTAGCTTATCTTTAACCATATATTGTGATTACTTGAATAGCAAGTAAGTTCTGTGATAGAATTTTCTATACTAGAAATTAAAACTAACTCAACCTTGAATATATAGAAATCATAGTAATTCTGATACTCAATCATATAAGGGAGGTAGAGGTATTATGGCGAAGCTAAGCATGCTACAAGTAAAACTTTTTATTTATTCAATATAGAACTTTGAAATTTAAACTGCTAATACAATATATATAGAATAAATCTAGTATAAAATAAGAAGGCATGATTTGTAATACTGGTACAAGATCATTATTTTTGTACATGGTACCAAAATCAAAAATTTTAAGGTTAGGAGGTATTGTGGCAATTTAGAAAAAAATTTTTTTCTTATTTTTTTTTTCTTGTTGACTTTTCTTTTCTTTTTCTAGCACATTCTTCTTTTTTTGTGCTAGATCAAGCTCTCATGCAGCTTTTTTTTGAGCAATTATCTCTTTTTTTCAGTTTGTCTTTGCAATCTTTCGTTCTGCTTTCTTATTCGCTTCATTCAATTGTCGCCAGCTTTTCTCATTTGTAAGCAGTTGGGCAAAAGGGAGTGTTTTTCTCTTTTTTTTAGGAGGGAGCAATGAAGAATCTGACTGTTTTTTAGGATCATTTTGGCTCTCAAAAGTTACTTGAGAGCTATTGGCTTGTGAATTACGAACTGGATACTTTAAAACTGAATGCAAAGTAGTTGTTTCAGGATTTTTATAGATATCAAGCTCTTCTGTTACTAATGCAAGCTGAGCTTTTAATAATTTATTTTTCTCTCTAAGCATTTTATTTTCTTTATTTAACAAATTAACATTTAATCTTGTAGGATGAAAATGGTTTGGTTGAGATACAGAGCTTGGTTCAACAAGTTGAGTGAAAGGTTGGCTTGGTTCGATGGGTTGGCTACATGAAGATAAGTTAATAAATTTTTCAGTTGTAAGAGAAGCATCTAAATGGTCAGGGTTAATAGCATTGGGATTAAATAGCCATATTCTCATTGCTTTATAGGTGTTGCAAATAGCAAGTAGTATGTAGGTTTCAAGAAAAGCAGGACCAAGGACTTTCGCGAAAGTATGCTTTGTTACTGTCATGCCATTATAGTTAATACAATATTTATCACACTCCTTACTATATTCATTTTTTAATTTTGCAAAAGGAAGCTCTGATGGTTGCAAAATATGTGCTGTATAAGGTGGAAGTGCATAAAGAAGGATACTATTCTCTCAGCAAAAATTGATGCTTGTATAGTTAATATAGCTTTTATGGCCATCAAGGATTAACAAAACAGGGCAAGCAGGTAAAATTGAATTGATAAAGTGGGTAAGATATATTTGAAAAAGGTCTTCATGCATATACCCGGTATCAGTAAAACCTATTACAGTTCCAGATAGTGCACCTTCTAACAAGCCAGGAATTGTGTGAATACCTTTATAGATTATTAAGGGTGGAATATACGATCTAGCAGCAGAAATTGTTGGTGCTAATGAGATATGTTCATAAGAATTCCCATGTGAAACTTTATGAATTTGGTGTGCACCTTTTTTTGCAATTACTTTTTCAGATTTTGGAACAATGCGAAACCAGTTTCGTCCATGTTCTAAATTTGCACAGCAGTAAGTGAATTTTCATGAATAATCTGTTTAAGTTTTTTAAAATGGTCCTTAACAATTACTGCATTTGCTCGCTATGCACATGCCTCAGATAATTCTTGAGGAGTACGAATTGAAAGCTCAAGATGATCCTTCATGAAATGCTTCCACCAGTCATAACTTAGTCCCATATCTCCAAATGGGTAATTTCATTTATTTAATTGCAAAATTTTGATTATACAATAGTTAACCCCTTTCTTTGTTAAACCAAACCCAAGCTTTTGCATATTAAGGCAATAGCTGGTAATTTAATCTTCTTCATGTTTTGTAAGAACCCTGAGTGACCAAGAGGATCACCATTTTTTTTAGCCCGCCTAAGTGTAGTTTCTGGGATCCCAAAGCTTTTAACAACACTGTTTAAGCTTGAACCTTTAGAACTAGCAGGTTGTTCATTTAGTTTATTAAGTGTGGCGCAAATATTATCTTGCCTGTTAGTATAATAGACTTGCATATTTTATTTGATATAACGCGATAAGGCAATAATGTGATACAGTAAATGTGACAAATACAACTTATATAATAAAGTGACACACGGGTATGCTATGTTATTTATTTATTTAAATGTTCAGGGTTGTTCAATTTCTACATGTAAAAATAAACTTGTTTTCATAATACAAGAATATTTGTATCACAATACATTTTATTAATACGTCGCTTTATAATTGGACCTATGTATGTACATTCCAGAATTGAGGGAAATGTGAATTGTTATACATAAAAAAGATTTTAAAAATTATTTTTTTTTAATTGATTCTATCTAATAAGTTTTGGTTTTGCGTGAAGTAAAGTTCTAGTCCCACTGTAATTACTTTGCCATAATACATAATATATTACTTATAAGCTTTTATTTTTTTAAAGTAAAAATAAATAAAGAAAAAGGTCATCAGACTATATAAAAGTTTTGAAATTAGGTAGAATTTGTTACTTCGAACAAAATTGCTTAACATGCTAAGATGGATTTATTTATATGAAAAAAATTTTTTTATGTGCTCTGTTTTTCTTTTTTAAGTAAAAATTCGTTCAAATAATGATATTTCACGTTCCAATGATCGGAAATGAACAAATTCGGCACCATTCGATTTGTCTCACCGAGACGAATCGAATGGTGTGTAAATCGTCCGATTCGGATCACAGATCCTATTTGCCATAATACCCCTACTTCGCTTATACTTTGTTTAGAGCAACACATTGTAGAAATCATCACAATTCTAATACTTGATTTTAAATATATATTATAATTATCAGAGTAGCAAATAAGTGCTATAGCAGAATTTTTTATAGTAGAAACTAGAGATTGCGAATGCGGGCGGCTTCGCCGCCTGTTTTAATTATCATGTATAAAGGCTAATTATATTTTAATATTTAAAATAATTTGAATAAAATGATAAAATGTAACTTGATAGTAAGATTCACAACTTAAATACTCTATGGATTTTCAAGTTAGTTAGTTAATTAGGGTGGGTTAGCGTTATGGTGTGTATATATGATAAAATCAACCCGAAAATGGGCTCTTTTATATAAATTTTGAATCCACTTAAATTCTGTTTTCACTTACAACATATACATTTACATAGTAAAATTAAATAAAATGAATTCAAATTTCTTGATACAAAATGACATATCTATTTTAATTAGTGTAAATAAAACAAAGTTAATGAAGTTCTACAAGAATTCACGAATTTATTGAATTAGAATCTTCGCAAATTAATTTAGATGAAATGAATACTTAATTGAGCAGAATTAATGTAAATAAAATAGGTACATGTTATTTCTAGAGCTAACCCGGTACACATTTTCTAGGTACTTGCCGTACTATGCGTGACAAATAATTTAGATCACATGTGATTTTTAATTTTTCACTAAAAAATCATGTTACACTAGATCTGCAGCACTCTACAGTATGATTATAAAAATGGTTTTATTTATAATCTTATCTTAAACTTATAGTGAGTTGTATAACAATGAAAAGAAAGGTGACTCATCTTGCAACAAAGAAACGTATATCGTATCATTAAACCTTATTTAGCATTATCCTTTTATTGTACTGTATTTTAATTATAAACAAGAATATAAAATTATGCTATGTATTTTTTTTTTTAACTTGTTTTTGTAAGCAAAAAAAAAATTTAAAAATGATAAAATTTTTATTCTTTATTATTTTGATTTTCGTTCTTGTCAATGCTGAAAATTCAAACAAAAGTTTGATTTATGATGATTCTGAAATTATTAATCCTACTGAAGAAGGTGTTGAAAATATTTTTGATTTAATGATTGTTATTTTTCTTTTCTTATTAACAGACATGTTTTCTATAAATATGATAACTTTAATTTTAAATTTTATATTGGAACTATTTGTTAATAGTTTGGCTATTTGGTTTATTAAACGAGCACATAATGCAACAGAAAATTATATTTTTATACAATATCTTATTACCTATTCAGTATTTTTATTATATGACTTTTCAAGCAATTTTTGTTTTTTTTATAAAAACTTGTATTTTTTTACAACCAAAAAACATATATTTGATTTGGACAATCAATTAACATATAATCAATTACAAAAAGCAGCGCATATAACTTTTTTTATTATTCATTTAGTTTTTTTTATTATAGTAGCACAACATAATTATGTTAATAAGTTAGCCTATGGATTATATTATTACCTTCTCTTCTATCTATTATTTATGCAATTTATAGTTTTTCTACTCTATTAAAAAATTTTAAAGAATTAACTGAAGAAGAAATAAACAAAATATATATGTATTATTATTAACTAACTTAAATAATTTATTAATTTTTTTAAAAAAAATTATAGATAGAACAATAGGCATATGTGCGTATCTTTTATTTTGTGCAATCGTCGCTCTTACTTCATTATAGATAAAAATTTATCTTATATCTGTTGCTATATTTGTTACATTAACTGAAAAAATAGAAAAAAAAATAAAAGAAGATCAAAGTAATAATATTAATTAAATTAATTTTATCATAATTGTTTTATAAAAAAATAAAATTATTTTAACTTTTATTTATTTTTAGAAAAAAGCAAAAAAAATGAAGTTGAAAATAATGAAACAATCGATGAAAATATTTTAGAAAAAAATGAAATTGAAAATAATGAAACAATTGAAAAGTTTAAATTATATTTTTATTATCATTTTTTCTAAAAATATTTTTATAAATATAAGTAAATAAAAAAATGTTTATATGTATTTATTTTTTTTTAATATCAAAACATTTCAAATATTTATTCAATAAAACTAAATTGTAGATCTACCCATATATTTATATTCGTTATTTTGCGATTTTTTTTAAATTTGTATAAATTTATATGTAAAGTCACATATGCATTGACTTTATCTTCTTTATTTCTAATTTGTAAAAGTATTTTCTCAAAATTTAGAATATTCTTGCTATCTAATTCCAAAGGTAATATCATAAAAGTAATATCATAAAAGTATAATAATAATATTATTCATTTTTTCTTAAAAATAATATCTTTTTAATCTTTCATCATATTCTATAACTCCATTGTTATTTTCAATATGAGTTTGTTTCTGCCTTTATTATAAAAAGATTAACTAGAGATTTAATTCTTAGTCCGTTAGGAAATGACATAACAATCATTTTATTGGATACATACTCTTCATATGAAATGACACCCGAAAATGATACTTCATGTAAAATTACTTGATGCCACATTTCTTTAAAGTAATTTTCTATTTTTTCTTTGAGTTCATTATTATTATCTTATGAAGAAGATATTAATTAAATTTTTGTAATGTTCTTCATCATCAGAATTCATTGAATTTTTGTCATGTTCTTCGTTTATAGATTTATGCTCTAATAATTTAATCTTTTCTTCTAATCTATCATATTCTGTCTAGTTATCTTTTTCATTTTTCAATTTTTTAAATATACATGCTAGATTTAGAAAAAGACTAATTTCTAAAATAGAAGAATTTGGCAAAGTTGTAATAACATCTATTTCAGAAGCATATACAGGTAAGACGTGCAGCCTTTGTGGATATATTAAAATAATCTTGGAGGGATAAACAGTTTAGGTGTAATGTGTGTGGACTTAAAATTAATAGGGACTTAAACGGCGCCCAAGGGATTTTCCTTCGGGCTTTGCTTGACGGGGGCCATAGTAATGCAAACATAGCTGTGCTAACTGATTGATTGCAGTATATAGTTAAAAGTTTTAATTATGTAATTGGTTGATTTAATCCATCTGAGGTATAGTTGGTGGTAGAATTACCGAATTACGGCAATTACGGCATTTTACTAGTGGTAGAATTAATTACGGCATAGCATCTAATTGCCGTAAAAATTGTATGTCGTAATGCCGCAATAACACAATGTTGTAATGCGATACCATAACTACAATATAATATTATAATGTTATAATTAAGTAACTACGTCACTCCAAACCGGAAACTGAATATGTTGTTATT